ATACACTGACTGAAATAAAGAATATTATACAGACACCCAACAGCAGACCAGAGGAGCGCAAGAATCAAGTCAAAGAATTGAAATGTGAAGAAGCAAAAAACACCCAACCGGAAAAGCAAAATGAAAAAAGAATCCAAAAATATGAAGATAGTGTAAGGAGACTCTAGGACAGCTTCAAGCGTACCAACATCAGAATTATAGGGGTGCCAGAAGAAGAGAGAGAGAGCAAGATGTTGAAAACCTATTTGAAGGAATCATGACAGAAAACTTCCCCTACCTGATGAAAGAAATAGACTTAAAGTCCAGGAAGCGCAGAGAACCCCAAACAAAAGGAATCCAAAGAGGACCACACCAAGACACATCATAATTAAAATGCCAAGAGCAAAAGACAAAGAGAGAATCCTAAAAGCAGCAAGAGAAAGAAAATCGGTTACCTACAAGGGAGTACCCATAGGACTGTCAGCTGATTTCTCAACAGAAACTTTGCAGGCAAGAAGGGAGTGGCAAATATTCAAGTGATGAATACCAAGAACCTACAACCAAGATTACTTTATCCAGCAAAGTTATCATTCAGAAGTGAAGGCCAGATAAAGAGCTTCACAGATAAGAAAAAGCTAAAGGAGTTCATAACCACCAAACCAGTATTATATGAAATGCTGAAAGGTATCCTTTAAGAGGAAGAAGAAAAAAAAGGTAAAGATACAAATTATGAACAACAAATACACATCTGTCAACAAGTGAATCTAAAAATCAAGTGAATAAGTAATCTGATGAACAGTATGAACTGGTGATTGTAATAGAATCAGGGACATAGAAAGGGAATGGACTGACTCTTCTTGTGGCGGGGAGGGGGAAGGGGTGTGGAGGTGACGGAAGAGATTGGACAATAATCTTGCACCTATGGATGAGGACAGTGGTGGGGAGTGAGGGCGGAGGGTGGGGTGGGAACTGGGTGGAGGGGAGCTATGGTGGGAAAAAAGAGTAATGTAATAATCTGAACAATAAAGATTTAATTAAAAAAAATTAAAAATAAAACAGAATTGAAGGTTTGAGGAAATGGGATCACTGAATACATGTTCTGCATTTACATTTTCTCCTGTTTAGTTATTTGGTAGAGTGATAAAAGCAAGCATTGCTATTGACAATGGAAGAGCAGCTGAGTTCATCCGGAGACGAAACTACTTTGATAAATCTAAGTGTTATGAATGTGGGGTGAGTATACCTAAAACTTAATGTAATTTTCTCTAGTGTACAGTACTTTCACACCAGTATTTTATTTGTGCTCTTCTAAACTCCTGGGTGGCTAAAACCAGGTTATGAAAGATGTTTTAATCTGGGACTTGACTCGTCTATGGAAACTCAATTGAAATGTAGTATGTAGAGCAGAACCCAGAGATGGTGGAGTTGGGTCTAGATGTAGCAGTAGGGTGTGAGAGGGAGGGGGGAAGGTTCTGGAAGGGTGATCATGGTACTCAAGGCTTGGTCTGCAGGCCTATGGGACACACAGGATCAAATGTGAAGTTGGCGGGTCCTGAGTGGTGCTTAGAGCCAGCAGGGTGGCAATGGGGCTGGGCAAGGTCAGTGTGAAGGTGGTAGAGGAGGGCCCAGGGTCGAGCCCAGAGTCCTGCAACCTCCAAGAGACCTTGAAGGAAAAGAGCCTTTGAAGGAACAGGAGAAGGTGGAGCCCAAGCAAAGGAAATGGAGGGGTTTGCAGGTAAGAAGAGCTGAGTCCTGAGCAACACCAGAGGGATCAAAGAAGTAAAGACCGTTCTAGAACTATCCTCAAATAATGGTGGCTTTTAAAAAAGCCTTGGAAGGGAATTCCCTGTTGCTGAAGGGAAGCAAAGAGGCCGCTTCCCACAGGGCGCACTGCGGGAGAGGAGGGGCCGGCTCCAGTTAGTGCACCTCCCACCCCCCTGGTGAGGAAGGGAGGTAGAGCTCATACCCTCAGAACCAGGGAGGGTTCAGAGTGAGGGGCTGCCCCCACCCACCGCATTCCTTCTCTTTGCTGCTCAGCTCCACGCTTCCCCACAGCTTCTCTCTGGTCTGGGAACCAAATGGTAACCAGTTACAGGCCCAGCTGCCCTGCCCCAGCTTCCTCTCCTTTCATTCCCTCATCCCTGCCTACCCTGCCAGCATGAGGGAACCCCCGGCTGAGCAGCCAGGCCCCTGCCACCTGGGCACCCAGAGCAGGCGGCTCCAGAGACAGCAGAGCTGCCGACTTCCTGTCTGACTCCAGCAAGTCAGGTTTGCCTGCCTGGGCTTCGGCTTTCCTGCGAGTAAAATGGAAAGAGTCCCACAGCAGGGCCATCCTGGAGCACACAGCCAAGGCCAAGAGGGGGATGAATGGCCCGTCCGGAGCAGGAGGTGGCGAAGCGGGCAGGCCAGCCGGGCCAGAGCGTGGAGGGCCTGGAAGGCTTGGCTTTGCAGTGTGGACTGGACCCTGCAGACCCGGCCTTGGCAAGCTCTTGCGCTAATGTCCCTGAAGCCGGAGCCAAGCACCTCTGTGAGCCAGGAGTCCTCACAGGGTCTATTTCATAAACTTGACTTGAGTTTTAATTTAAGGAACTACAGTGTAAAATTGCATTCGGCTGAGGAAAGGAGATAATTCTACTTCACTCACTTCACTGCCACCCCCAGCACAGACTGAGGCCCAGTTCCCAGAGCGAAGCTCCCCAGGGGAAGGGCCATGGCCCCCATGGGCGCCCCTTCTGGGTCCCTCTCCTCTATGGGGTCTGTCCTTCAGCAGGTGCTGTGTGGAGTGGGCTCCCGGGCAGAGGCCCTGAGCTGGGCCTGGCTGCCAGCGAGGTGTTGCCATCAGCTGAGGGTGTTTGGTGGAGGCGGGAACAGGTCCCCTTCGGCCCCTTCAGAAACCGGTCCCACCACTTCTGAGCCGTGTGACCTTAGACAAGTTAACTGTCTGTAACCTTGGATGAGCTCACTAACTACTTGCTGCCCGTGATCTCAGATAAATAGCCTTCTTGCCTCGGGGCCTTGAGGCTACACGGAGCAGAAATGCCCTCGGTGGCGACCTGCCCCCACTCCCTGCACCGCGCTCTGCCCGCCCCCAGTCACGCTCACTCCTCCGGCTTCTCCTTCCCCACCTTCTCTCCACCCCATATCTCTGTTGGGCTCTTGAGAACTCAAAATGAAAAAAAAAAGAAATGTAGTATGTAAAGGTAACCTGAGTTGGATGATACAGAGTGACATTTTCTCCAGTTTCTAAATCTTTGAAAACTGTTAGGTTAAAAACTATTGACTAATTACCTATATTATTGTTTTAAAAGATTTTAGTGACCCATAAATATTTGTGTTAATGGGATATTGCCTGTTTCTATAATATTTTGCCAGTTTAGTGTCTGCCCTCTGGTGGTCAGTGCGTGTCAAATCGACTGGTCGACCTATCGTTCTGGTCATTCTGGTCATTTGGTCTTACCGATCACTTAGGCTTTTATGTATACTAATATATTCGTGCTCTTGCGGGGAGAGTGTCCCTCAGTCCAGCCTGCACCCTCTTCAATCTGGGACCCCTTGGGGCATGTCCAACTGCTGGTGTGATCGGGCCTAACCCAGCAATTGGATATCCCTCTCACAATCAGGGACTGCTGGCTCCCAACCGGTTGCTACCTGCCTTCCTGATTGTCCCTAACCACTTCTGCCTGCCAGCCTGACCATCCCCTAACCACGCCCCTGTCAGCCTGATCGACACCTAACTGCTCCCTTACTGGCCCAATCGCCTCCAACTGCCCTCCCCTGCAGGCCTGGTCACCCCCAACTGCCCTCTCCTGCCAGCCCAGTTGCCCCTAACTGTCCTCCCCTGCAGCCCTGGTCACCCCTAACTGCCCTCCCCTGCCAGCCTGGCCTGGTTGCCACTAACTACCCTCCCCTGCAGACCTGTTCACCCCCAACCGCCCTTTCCCTGCTGGCCTGA